CCCCCCTAAGATTGTTCCTTGCCGGAAAAAATACACCCTTATTTTTTTTATCAAAAAATATTTTGATATCGCTCAAAGCGCCCAAAGTTTCCCATGTATTTTATATGGGGAAAACAACTTTTCGTAGAAATGGTATAGAATAGAATAGAAGAAAATCAACATTTTTCTACTTGAAAACTATGTTTATCTGCAGGAGATTCCCAATTATAATACCCAAATGTTTACCCTTTTTTTCATCGCAAATATATATTAAAGGTCCTCCAAAAAACCCACTAAAACCCCGATAAATGCAATGGGGCGATCAATAAAAAAATCGATAGTATTAAAAAATGGTGAAGTAAATAATTGGGTATTACATTGAAAGTATCATAAGAAAAGAATTCAAAATTTAATTAGAAGAAAATTTTGTTTTACCTAACTAATTTTACCTTAAGGGGAAGGTAATACAACTTTTCAGAAAAATTTTGCGAAAAAATGATTCGTAACCCGATTTTGTATGGTCAATTCAAATATCTGAAACTGCAGATTGTAGAGTAATTTTAGTTAATCGTGTAGATCTGAGGTGGGCAACTTCGGCAGAGCATTTTTGTAGTGTGCGTGCAATTGATGTCACTGTGTGCGTGCGAACAAGTCGTGCGGTTGAATGAAGCTTTGACTGCCTTCTAAAGCAGAGCGTGTATGTACCCAGTAAAAATCGGTTGGATGCATTCATGAAGAATACATGCTATATGAGTGAATTAGTGTGAACAATTCATGCGTAGTCATGAATTTCCACGAATAAATTCAAATTTTAACGAATGTACGTTGTCGTTGTTTTGAGTACATTTCTTGATAAATTTGAAGTGGACTTTTCGTAATATTTTCAGTATTGTACAAAAATGTTAGTGAGCGGACGTGTTGTGCGATAATATTTTGAGCACCAGTGGGCTTTTACAAGATATGCATTTGCATATGTAAATGCTACTTTTCTGTATGTTTCCGTGTATTAAAATGTATCACAAAAGTAGCATTTACGTTCAGTTCAAAAACCAAAGCGTTTTTTTAGCCGGTTGAAACTTCGGTAGATTAAAATTGTAAGGGCTCTAAAGCTGCATACCCAAAAATGTTCTAAAGATTCATTCAAAAAAATATGGTTGAATATAATTGTTATAAGGCCATAAGAATAGCAAAAACAAATAACTTAAGGACAAGCACACCTAAAAAGTTAAACATTCTAATAATAGAAATATTAAAAAAACCAACGAAACCAACAACCACATGATCAAGTAAATTGCAGCGGAATAGCTGTGCTTGTTTGTAGTTGGCTTAGCAAAGTGAAATAGTGGAAAAAGCAAAAATAATTTACAAGGCGAACTTAGCACAGTGCGTTGTTGAATTATCCTAAATTTGTATAAAGATTGAAACTGTGATTTATATTTTTTTTCGTTAAAGCTTGGACGGCATTTTTATAGAAAAGTATCAAAAATATTACGAATATTGAAAAAAATCAAAACATCATCATTTCTTTCAGTCACTGTATAGATAGATTTTAAGAGCTTTGCTTTGCTGTTATGGATGGTACTGACTATACATTATGTGCGAAGTTCGCCAACAAACGTCGCATTAAATCCTAGAGGAACTCACATAGTGGGAACTATATATCGCGGTCCTCAAGCATTCACGTCCTTCTTTGTGCTATCTTGCTTTACATTTTAATGCTCACATTAAGGTAATTAGCTTAACATTACTGTATTTGCCATCGGCGAATACCAACAATTGCTGGTTATTCGACATTACTCACTGCTCAGAGTTGCGAGAAACAGGATAAATAAAATATTAAAAAAATATATATATATTATTTTTTGCTTACCGGTCTTGAATGTTGCCATTAACTTGGCAGAGTCCCCTCCATGATGGCAGGCAAAGAGAGATTGGTCTAGAAGGTCTTCGGCTTTGTAGCCGAAAACATTTTGCATTCTGAAAATAATAATTTTGTTAAATTTCTGATTTTTCAATTGCAAAAATGTATATATTTGTGTATGCTTGTATGTTAATTTACTTCTCATCCACATATGTAAATTTCATATCCAACGAGTGTTTTGTCAAGAACGTTGTGCTACCCAGTGGAATTTCGATGTTGGATGGATGTGGTATTGGTCTTCCGATAGCGACCAGCACACGATCACCACTTGCGTTGACCACCAGGTGGCCAGTAATGTGAATAACCTTAAACAGTAAGATGGTAAAGAAATATTTGATTATTTACCTTGTCTAAATGGTATGATACGGCAATAAAGTCTTACCTTGTAAGAAGCACTTTTTATGTTAATGCTGCGTCCACGACTGGTTAATGTACATTTAAAGCGCACGAAAAGGTCGCGATGGTCTGTAGATAGTCTTTCTTCAATCATATTCTCATCTTTAATTTTGTCAGTACGACCACTGCGCTTTATGTTGAGTGCGTCTTTGAGTTCGGCATGATCACATTGGTGGCTGTATTCCCAGATTTGTTGGCCGAGTAGATCAATCTTAAAAATTTCAAGAAACAATTTCAAAAAAGTCATATCATCTCATTTTTTCAATAAGCGTTACCTTTGCTAAGCCCAAATAATCAGTGATGTTGTCCGAAACATAGGTAATGTCGCCATCATTTGAGAGTACAAGCAGGAAGCCGTCTAAGGTCTGTTTAATGAACTGGCTTGTCTCGGCGCATTTGAGAAAATCGAACTTTTCATTAGCTTGTTTCGCTGAAGAGTCAGAAATTTGACTGCCACTATTGGAGTTTTCATCAATATCATCGTCCGATTTCAATTCACCAATAATATCTTGGATTTTCGGGACTGCAAATAAATAATATAGTTACTATTGGAGTAGATGACCACATTTATTAGGCGGATGCTATTAATTCTAGCATCTAATATGTAAAAAAAATATAATTTTTAAACCGCATATCGATGATCCGCAACAATAACGACACAACTCAAAATTGCATGTATTTAAATTACATATATAGCGGATTGGGTGGATAAGTAACCAATTTTTCTGCAGAACATCCACATATGTTTACTTGTTTCCAATCCGACAGGGTCGCAATTGTGTCATAGGTCAAAAAATCGTTATTGCAGAGGACCATCGATATATACATACATACATACGTATGTATGTGACTTCTTTAATCTGATATTGGAGAAGATAATAAGAGCTGCACAACTGAACCACTCAGGAACAATTTACTACAAGAGCGTGCAATTGCTGGCGTATGCCGATGACATCGACATCATCGGCAACAAAAACCCCGAAGTCTGTTCTGCCTTTTCCAAGTTGGATAAGGAACCAAAGCGAATGGGTCTGGTGGTAAACGAGGACAAGACGAAGTATCTCCTGTCATCAAACAAACAGTCAGCACATTCGCGCCTTGGCACCCACGTCACTGTTGAATGTTACAATTTCGAGAAAGTAGAGAATTTCGTTTACTTGGGAACCAGCATTAACATCGATAATAATGTCAGCATTGAAATCCAACGAAGAATCACTCTTGCCAACAAGTGCTACTTTGGACTGAGTAGGCAATTCAGGACTAAAGTCCTCTATAAGTCACTCATCATGCCCGTGCTGGTATATGGCGCAGAAGCATGGACAATGACAACATCCGATGAGGCGGCTCTTGGAGTGTTAGAGAGAAAGATTTTGCGGAAGATTTTACGGGCCTTTACGCGTTGGCGACGGCGAGTACCGCAGACGATGGAACGATGAGCTGTATGAGCTTGTATGGACACCGACGCTCCAGCTCTGGAAGTATTCAACTCGGAACCCGCTGGTGGTACCAGAGGAAGAGGGAGGCCCCCACTGCGATGGAAAGATCAGGTGGAGAAGGACTTGGCTTCACTTGGCGTTTCCAATTAGCGTCAGTTGGCACAGACGAGAAACGACTGACGTGCTTTGCTGAACTCGGCCAAAATCGCACAGCGCCAAAAAAGAAGAAGAAGAGATTTAGCACTTGTGTATTTTCAATGCTACAAGATAGTCCGCCACCATTACCTTTGTTGAAGAGCTTCTATAATTTTGAGTTCCTTGAGGCTGAATGCTGGTTTAATTCCAGCACTGATACCGGACTCACACATTATTGATGGCTCAAAAACTGACTCTGGGTCATGATCAGCGGTATTTTTTCGAAGTGAATGGTAATAAGCTTAACTTTTTCTCTTGGGGAATTGCTTCAGTCTTCCAGGCTGAGATACTTGCCATAGCCATAGACTAAGTGGTGGAAAGTAGGTGGAGGGGAAGGAGTTTACGTGTCTGCAGGTACAGTCAAGCTGCACTTAAGGCATTTATCTATGTACTTTCAGACTGATTCGGAAATACGAGCCTCTAATAAATGATGTTGGTAAACATAACGAGCTTGCTTTACTCTGGGTGCCAGGTCGCTCGGGAGTACCTGGTAATGAGACATCTGTCCACTTGGCCACAGTTGGCTTAGACCAGGCATTCCTCGATCCGCAACCAGCCCGGCCATCGAAGCCACCATCAGAAACTGGGTGAATACTTCGCTCAGTAATGACTAGAGAGAATACAGGTGGGCAAAACTGATGTTGCCTTCAATCTCAGGAGGTCTATTTAGTTTTTTTTCTGCCATTTCTAGACGGAATTGCAATCAACTTGTTGGACTGCTGACTGTTCACTTCACGTGGCACAAACACCTGACTGCGATAGGCGTAAATGACAACTCCATTTGAAGAGGAAGAGACGGTGGAACACTTTTTGTGCTTCTGGTTTTACTTGGTTATTTGTCATCGATTTTTCTAGATTCGGTCTTTCCTATATTGTCAGTTTCTGTATTTTAAGATGGCGAAAAAAGCTTTTCGGGTTTGTTTTTTCAAATTTTGTGTTTTAAAAATGTGAGCGATAAAAATAAAAATTATGCCAACGACACAAATATCTAAACTATTTTACAAATACGCCGAATGCAAATTCATGAGTGAGCCAAACATGTGAGGAGTTTATGGTGAAGAGAATGTGAATAACGGAGTGCCCTTAAAAAATATAACTCCTCAGAGCGAGATAGTACGTTGATGGCTTTACGAGCTCTGTTTTTTTAAACTTGCAAGTGTATTATCACATTATTTTAATAAATAGAGCACAAGAATATATTTTATTTTTATTTTTGCCACCCCGAATTCAACTTGAAACTCACCCGCGATGCAAATTTACATCGTTAGATCTAATTTTCATATTTGTTGACAACCTTTGCGAATATGTTAGAAATTTAGCAGCGGGGTCCACCGAAACGGTTAGAGTTTTGAAAGGGGGCTACGAGAAAAAATGTTTGGGAATCTCTGGTTTAGTCGTGTATGTCGTGAGTATTTTTTTTTTAGCACCGTGTAATTAATTTATGCAATTTTAATTGACAGCACCGAAAAATTAATATATACACAAACAAATTTTCGGTTATGGTTCTGTTTTAACCAGTTAAAATTTTTGTACACATTTTTCGTTTAAAATTTGTTTTAATTTTAGTATGTTTTTTTTAGCATGTTTTCCTCTCCGTACGCAGATTTCAAACTCGCATGCATGTACATTTGTCAAATGCGATAGCATGAACGCTTTTCTAAAGTGCTAAATGTTGACTTTTCAATTCAGAAAACGGTGCATAATTTTATCGGCGTTAAGCCTCAGTTGGTGTAGACTTAATTTACGTAAGAAATCGGCAATGGTTACTCAACACGTCAACTTAGCCAGAAGCGAAAATATTTGGTTTTTGTAATTTCCTTTTCACTTTCCAAACCCGATCTTAGGACAAACTAGGCTAAACTAGTTCTTCCCATCTCCGATACATCCGTCCCTTGCGGAAACAAGTTGGGCGCAACATTATTGTGGACTGCGTACTTAGGGTTGGACTGATGAGGGTTATTTTTTTGAAGTGTAGCCGAAGGCCGCCTATGCAAAAATACTGTCACCCCTGATCTAGTTTAGCCTAGGCAAAACTAGTTTCTCCTAAGATCGGGTTTGGCCGGTAACATATACATATACATTCTTAATTACATATGAAAAAGCATCCGAGACGTTCAAAACGCCATCCGTTTAGTGAAAAATGCTTCATTTTAATACGGGCGTATTTGAATTGAATATTTCCATTATACGTAGTGTATGTAAAATGGAAAAATCCATTTTTTATTACTTTTCACTTGATTTAATACGAACATTTTTAAACGGTAATCAAATAAAAATGTTAATTTTTACAACGCTTTTCTTGAATAAATTAACGGTATTGTTAAATTTTTATGTGAGAATTGAAGTCGGTTTGGTTTTTTGCTGAAAAATTACTTCTGTTATTTTCATTAGTCTATAGAAATTAGTTTACTTACAGAGTATTACTTTCCTTTAAACAAAGTTCCGCGATACATTAATTATAGTAGGTTTAGGTTAAGTTTAAAATTATCAATAAAAATGAGGCGTGAGAATGGCAAAGCTCTATAATTCTGGCTATAGGTTCAGTATATGCATAGGAGGTTATGTACGTAGCCTCAAGAAGAAGAGAATGCGTATTGCTCGGCATTGTTTGCTTCCGGATAAGATGTGTAGGCAAACATGATGAATAAATAGGACCTCCTGTCCGATATGCTTGTAGTCTCAGCAATTTTCTTCTTGATTCGTAAAGCGACGTACCCTGAATAATTTCCCAAATTGAAACTCAAGGGTATTGTTTTAGGAAATTTTTTTCTTATCGTGTGGTAATATACCTATGCGCAAACACATGATAAAAATTCGAACCAAATCGACCCATAAGTACGAATGTTTCGAATATCTCGACTACCAGGCCATCTAACGGATACATGCAAATTTTCTTAAAACTACTTATTGCATGGGCAGTAATCTAAGAAATTTAAATCAAATAAACATATGTACAAATACGCATTTCCAAAATATTTCGACCCGAATCGCGAATGTTCGAATGAAACAAAATGGCAGCTATTTTCTCCGCAATACAATTTAAACGGGCGAAGCACACTCACTCTCGGATGCCGTGATCGACCTACATTCGATATCGAATGCCGCGATTCGGGCCCGGTGCTACGTCAACTAAATATGTTTTCCTCAAGACATGATTGGGTAATATGTATGTAATTATGTTATTTGGTTATACTTACCCAAGCATGCTTTGAGGGAAATATATTTAGCTGACTTTATTTCTGAGTGTAGGAAGCGGTTTATTGCTCAAAGCTTCAAAACTTCAAATTGATAGAGAAGTGGAAAAGGAAGTAAAATTCAGAACCAACACAATACATCTGACTTTACTAAGTCAAGCTTCATTCAAGCGGTTACTTACACAACTGCAGCATTTCACGAACTTTCAAGTAGGCTATGGCTATGCGCATTACAGATGCCTTGTCCAATTGGTTTACGTCCTCTTTGCGAAGCGGTAGAATCTGGGCTAACTCACTGAAAATTTCCGTTTCGCGTGAACGACGGCAACGAGCTGCGTCGCGTGATTTTTCCTTGCGCTTCTCATTATTCCTGCAAAAAAGTAAAATAAGTAGAACTGAGTGAAATACTCCGAAATACACGAAAATATTGATAACTTCAAATACTTAAATATTAAAATATTAGCTTGTTTATATCAACGCAAGAACCGCATTAACAAAAAACCAATTTGACTCAACACATATTTTTTTTGGAGCGTTCATACGTGTGTTTTTACAGCGCACTCGCTGAAACCGTATTCAAAAGTATACAATATTTGTTGTTTTATTTCGATATTTCTTTAATAATTGATTTGTGCTTGTGTTGGCCGAAATGGAAGCGAACAATTATTAAAATTTCTTTTAACAATAATTCAAATTTAAAACGAGCTGTATAAAGAAAACCATCCACTCACTTCACTTCGCGTCAAATGAGTGATGTGTTTATACCTGTTTTCTGTGAGCAATAAAAAACCGATTTGAAATCAAGTTCGAGTTAATACACTTTTGAAATTCGGAGCGTATTGAAATTTTGTTTATGGGTCATTCCATACAATATTTACACCTCAATATTTTTTTTTAGGGTGAAATATATTTTTTACATTTTTTTCTTTTTCATTTCTTTTTTTTTTCAATTGATTGCAGTTAATAAACTATTTGTCGGATAAAATCAGTTAAGGTATCAAAATGTGCGTAATAACCTCGGCTTTCCACGAGAGTGTGAGATAGATTAAAATAGAAAAAATTTTTATTAAAAAATCGCATTTTTTATTTATTATTATTTTTATTAACTTCATCATGTTTGTTTTTTTTTTTCAACCTGAATAGTTGTCAAACTTTATGGAGTACGCTGGAAAAATTTGAGAATGGAAACGCCAAAACTTTAGTATAAACTTTATATACGCAGGTATGAAAAAACTCGCAACTTCTAGGGGTTTGGTGTAAAAAAATGCGATTTTTTAATGCAAACTTTTTTTAATATATTTCACCCCAAAAAAATATTGAGGCGTAAATATTGATGGAATGACCCATAAACAAAATTTCAACGCTCCGAATTTCAAAAGTGTATTAACTCGAATCGGTTAGAAAACAGGTATAAACACATCACTCATTTGACGCGAAGTGAAAAAATTATGGTTGAATTATTATTAAAAGAAATTTTGTAATGACCCTTATGCATCCGTTTTGAATCACAGCGAAGTGGATCAAAGCGCTTTATGTGCATAAACAAGGTATTTATTTGTGTACGAAATTAAACGAGTATAAATGCATGTGCATATAAAGAAAAGAACAAAGGGCAAGTCCGAAAGGAAATCTCCAACAAAAAGCTCCCTCGCCAACGATGATCACCACACCAAAAGGCCTTACTGTCATTCACCTGCCTGACTAGTTTGATTAGTTTGTTAAGGCAGGAATTATATGTACTTATGCATGGATATACATATATAAGTGTCTTCATGTAGTTGGCGTTACGACGCCACTATAATCACGTTCGCCAAATATCCAATTGTAGCCATTGACGTTGCAGTTGCATGTTTGCATGCCAATCACACGCTTTTCCATTACCCAATGTTGTTGTTGGCAATGGGCGCATAAAATAAATGATGATATGCAATATTGTCACAAAAATGCAGCGAACATTCATGGCGAAAACTGTAACAGAAAACATGAAATATTGCTAGAACACCAAACACCAGCCAGGATCAGCCGCTATGCTATGTCTATAACCCTTCTACAGATTCTGTTAAAAAACTGTGTTAAGGCAGAAATGTCAGGTGGAGACCGCAAATTTCCACTGTTAAACCATATCTGTCTTGCCGAATTGCTTACCATCGCTGTATTAACATCAGCTGTTATTTCGTAGTTTGAGAGCTCAGCTTTCATTTTGTGATAGAGTTAAGTGCAAAAATACTTTGGACACCGAAGCCGGAATTATATCCAAAAGAAATGTTATACACTTCTGACGAAGAGAGGGGTTCCTCCTCTCTTCTTCGGCAACACAGAAAGGAGGAGTCTATGTAGTAAGGGTTATAATCCTTAACCGAATTCTACGCAAATATACTGTGGACGCAAGTGAAAATCCCCCTTCCCCCCACTCCCCCTTCGCTCACCGCCTCTTCAATGACCGCCCTTATAGAAAAGTATTCCAGACTCTTCCTGAATGTATGGCCATTTTTTTAAATTAAGCCTTATAAATAATTTAATATTTTTCTGATTTTTATATCCGAGCGCCCTGCACCTACCTTGCTACGGCCGTGCTTACACTTTTTCACTATCACATACTACGTTTATACGCACGTATTATTTGCAAATAAGAATTTGCAAAATTGTAAACTTTGCCGTATAAACGCTGAGTTATTTTTTTATTTGCAAATAACTAAATCACGCAAATAAGTATTGATTAGTGGTACTATTTGCAAATAAGCGCAAGACGCCGCCATTCTTAGGTTTATTTTCTTTTTCGATGGTCATCTAATGCCTTTTTATAATCAGGCAATTTTAAAAAGAAATTTTTCACCATCGAATAAACAGTGAGTTAAGTATTTGCAAATTTTTTTTATTTGCAAATAGCTTACGTATAAAGTCTTCCGATTTAAGCTGAAATTAGTCGAGAACGCAGAACGTTTACTTAAACGCAGTCTGTATACGCAGAATTTTGTCGATTACTGGAGCCCTCAGTGTTGCTTACTACACTGTTGCCACTCATCAATGCCTTTTCATAAACTTACCCTTTCAACTACAATTTTTCGTGCTATAATAGATTTTAGCTAAATATAAACTACTTTCACCAAAAACCTTATTCAATAGTAAATTTCAAATATTTTAAACATATTTTGAATAGGAACTTATATCTTTTTTACCATCTGTAAAACTGACGAAGTGGCAACCATCTAAATAAGGAGAAATCAGCTGACACGGAAAAATCTAAATTCCGCAGATGTCTGCGCTACGGGCTACAACTACAGAAAAATTCTGCGGCGTTGAGTTTTCATTTGCATGGCGCTTTGGTAAGACAGATCGGTATCAGCTTACTCGGATTTACGTACCGGTAGGTTTACGTTCTTGACTAATTTCAGCTTTAGACTTAAGAGGTGTCATTGGAAAGGTATTTTCTCACTCTTTTTATTTCTTTCCTAGAAAACTCATTCAAAGGATGAAAGAGAAAGGTAGGATGAACGAACGTCATTCAAAGTTGAATTAAGATGTGTTGGTATTTGAAAAAAAATTTTGGGACACGAATGACTTTTTTTTGACAGAAATAAAAACAGTGTCTAAATACCTTTCAACTGAGATCCCATAAGTCTAAATCAGAATAGTTTTGGCCCAGTTATTCAAGTTTTTCGTAAATCAATCTTTGAAAAAAAGTAAAAAAACAGCATCACAAATCTCAGTATTGCGATTTCGCTGAAAAGATTTTTAAATATTTTTATGCAGATTTTTTAAGCTTAATCTGTTTTGTCATCTGAGGGGACTTTTTTCAAAAAGTTCTTTAAGGAACTATTTTTATTCATAAAAAAAACTCAATTTTTGGAGGTATTTTCAAATCGGTCCAGCTCACTTAAATCTTAATATTTTTCCGAAATATTTTGGTGAACGTCTTAAAATATAATAAATTTTGTAATCCCGGCGGAAAAACTGCAACTTTTTTTGGTGATGCAGTCTAATGTACATATATGAATGAAAGAAATAAAATAAATGGATACATATCGCTCATTTACCTCAATAGTGTCATAATCCAAAAAATGAAAAATATTGAAGTATGTAAGTGGTCAGAAGTTGCCGCTACACCTCTTCTTCTATAATGTACAAAAATTGCATAGCTGTATCGATTACAAGTACGAAATACGTATACATTTTTCCTATGGCAGTATATTTATAGCCGTTTTTCTCAAGTTTCGCTTTTTTGAGTTGTGACATTATTGGAGTAAATGAGCGACATGTTTCTATATCCTTAAGTTTATCAAAATATTGAAAGCAGACACGCATGTTTGCTGTTTCTTTAGCTGTTTCTCTCTTTCTCTT